GGGGGGGGGGTACTCACACCTCCTGAAGGTTCTCTGGGATCCAGCAGCATCTCAAACAGGCAGAAGGCAGGCAGAGAAAAAGCACAAAGGATCCCGTGGAGGGCAAGTGGACCAGAGGACCCATAGCAGCTGTGGGAGTGAGAAGAGCTGGCTCTTCAGTCACCCACCTCTTCACACCAAAGGACCGTACCCTCCAACACTGAGTCTTCATCTCCTTTCCCTCCTACCCCTCAAACCTGCTTCTAGAATGTTCCTCTCCTAGGAACATATCTTTCAAAGCATTGTCACCCCCCTCAACTCCTCCACCCTTCCCCTCCAACCAGCCAGCCCCTGCCTCCTTTCGGTCCCACCTCCCTTGGCACACCCCCTCAATCTACCACTTCCCTCAGACTCTGCGGGACCCTAGCCCACTGTCTTTTCCCACCACCTCCAGGCCCTCTCAGTTTGTTCATCTCATCTTCATTGATGGCTCTAAGATACAAATGTAGTCAGGGCACTGCCCAGCCTGAAGCCTTCCTTAGGAGGAAGTCTGGCCGGTCACCTTGGCTTTGGCAGCCTCAGCCTCTGTTCACAGCCTAGTGCTGAGCCGCATGAATTTCTGTTTCCTCTGCTTGAAATGTGTCTTCCAACAACTGGCCCAATCAGATCAATTCCTACCCCTTCTGTCAGGGCTCAGCCCAAGCAACACCCCTAGCAGGGGCTCAAGAACCCATCATGTCTTCGGGAATTGCTTGTTAAACATCCGGGTAGTCTGTGTTGGTGAGACCATCTCTGACTTAAGCACAGTGGTCTCAGGAGAAATGTGCAGAGGAACAAGTGAGAGAAAGAAAAGCAGGGAGACATTGTTAATGAAGACCAGGCAAAATTAGGTAATAGGAGACAGGACAGCTATGAGTCAAAGATTACTCAGAGGTTCCTGGCTGGGAGGCGGAGATGGGTTATCACTGTCCACAACTATGGCAAAGTTGAGCTTTACCCTAGGCCCGGAGTGAAGAAACGCCCCTTCCCCTCTGCCTTGCTTCCTGGAAGCCAGGGGCCTGACACCCCAAAGGCAGAGGGTAATATAGAGACAGAGTCCAAGGATACTTAGTTGCCACAGGACATTGTCTATGGAATGCCAGCATTTTTTAAAAACAGTATCTTGCTTATCCAATTTGTGCTTGACATGAAGCTGTGGGGGGAGAGTTAAAAGGAGACTTGAAAGTTAAGAAAACTGGGGCGCCTGGGTGGCTCAGTCGTTAAGCGTCTGCCTTCGGCTCAGGTCATGATCCCGGGGTCCTGGGATCGAGCCCCGCATCGGGCTCCCTGCTCCGCGGGAAGCCTGCTTCTCCCTCTCCCGCTCCCCCTGCTTGTGTTCCCTCTCTCGCTGAGTCTGTCAAATAAATAAAATCTTTAAAAAAAAAAAAAGAAAGAAAGTTAAGAAAACTTACTCAAAAGAGAAAAGTGCTGAGGCCAAGCCGAAGAGTGAATTCGACAGATATTCTGCATGAGACTGTAACAACGCACATAAACAAAGTGGTTTTCATCAGCTCCCAGGTTCCAGGTTCTGTGGGAACACTGGGGCTGACGGGGCTGTCGGAACCGCCACCAGCCTCTGCAGGTGCACCAACAGACTCGAGTTAACGGGATCAGCCCCCTCCTCACCCACCAGTGAGACCAGCCCTGAGGGTATACAGTTTACAAGGGATGCAGAAAATTTGCAGTCTGTTCACAAGAGGGTGATCAAGTGCAGAGAAATCTGGAAACCATCTCTTCCCGGGAATCACTGAAGGTGATAAATTTCTCCTGGAGCAAAGGAGACACAGACCTGGAAGCTACCTACCTCTCGTGCTGGAGGGCCGTCGGGTCAAAGAGAGGAAAGACTCACTAGGTGTTTCTCTAGAGAACAGAGTGAAGAACAGCCAAGTAAAAACGACGAGACAGGAGATGCAGTTAGCATAAGAAACAGTTTCTAACAACTAGAGCAGCCTAGCCCAGCAAGGTAGTGAGCTTCTTGTCGCTGGAAATGTTCAAGTGGAGGCAGGGGGGTGTCAAGGCTACTGTAGGCATCACTGGTAAGAGTTCCCAACCATTTTTCTCCTCCCAAACATCCCAGTGTTAAGGAATCCCATGTTTTGAAATACTGTATCTATTTCATAAGCTGTACTTATTCAAAGGAAAAAATATCCCATTTTAATAGTCAAACACCTGTCTCCTGTCAATCATCAGATGCTTAGGCAGGCTAAGCCCACTGACTAGAAGTGACTCAGCCGTGGGGGGCTGGAAATGCTTCTAAGAAGAGGAGGTGTGCCTTTCGGCCAGAACCCTCTCTTCCAACAAGGTGCCAAAACGTCCGGCCACAGGGAAAGAAGAGAGGCAGCACTGTATGTGCTCTATGCCTTTTAGAAAACACCGAGTCGCTCCTTTGGCCACATACATGCGAATCTTCAAGAAAGGTGAAATTGTCGACATCAAGGGAATGGGCACTGTTCAAAAAGGACTGCCCCACAAATGTTACCATGGCAAAATTGGAAGAGGCTGCAGTGTTACCCAGCATGCTGTTGGCATTGTTGTAAACAAACAAGTTAAGGGCAAGTTTCTTGCCAAGAGAATTAACGTACGTACTGAGCATATTAAGCGCTCCAAGAGCCAAGATAGCTTCCTGAAACGTGGGAAGGAAAATGATGAGAAAAAGAAAGAAGCCAGAGGGAAAGTTACCTGGGTTCAACAGAAGCACCAACTTGCTCCGCCCCGAGGTGCACACTTGGGCAGAACAGGTGGACAGGAGCCTGAGCCGCTGGAACCTGTTGCCTAAGAATTTGTGGCTTTATAGGTGTAAAAATAAGTTAGTAAGTAAGTAAATAAGTAAATAAAAGACCTCTGGACTGTTTTTGTTTTTTTTTTCCCAAAAGGAGCTTATGACAGAGCTGGGATTTAACTTGGGGTTCTGCAAGCCGACAGGGGGGTCCGAGGGGCAGGGAAAGACTCTGGTTGGGAAAAAAAAGTTCCAGAATAAACAACTTAAGTATACAGTGGGGCTGACATGAGGCTGGGGGCAGGAGGGTACAGATTCCAAGGGGCTGTCTATGCTCTGCTCCAGAGCCTGTCAGTTCAGTAGGGGCTTTGACCATGATCTCCAGGGGACAAGATCTACAGGGAGTGAAGAGGAGCCCAGCCCAAAAGGTAAAACCCAACTACCTTAAAAGTAAGACCCTCTGTGATTGAGACACCCCAAGGAAATGCAAACAAGTCACAAGCTGGGAATTCTATCTGCAGCACCTTGAAATGACAAGGGACTACTAGCCAGGATATTTGAAGAACTGTATGAATCAAGAAGAAAAAGAAAAGACGTGGGCAAGGGAAACAAACAGGAACAGCCCGGAAGAAGAAGCACAAATGGCCCCTAGACACAGGAGAAGGTGTTCAACCTCATCAGCAGCAAGGGACCGAAAACACATCCTCCCCACGTTAGAACTGGCACAAACTTAAAAATGCGACAAGAGTAAGTATTGGTGAAGATGGGGAGCAGCGTAGGAGTTCTCATCCTCTGCTGGCGGGAGTGCAAATCGGTATGAGTATTTTGTTTTGTTTTGTCTCTTATTTATTTTTATTTTAAGTAAGCTCCATGCCCAACGTGGGAACCCATGACCCTGAGATCAAGAGTCACACGTTTCACTGACCGAGCCAGCCAGGCACCCCCAGTATAAGTATTTTAGAAAGCAGTTTGACATTTGGGCACCCTTGAACTTTTGCATGTCTTTGAACATCTGCATACCCTTGACTCAGCGATTTTACTCCCAGTGTATTCCCCAGAGCAGTATTTCTCAATGAGGACCAGTTTTGCTTTTGTTTTACTTTCCAGTATGCTGAGGGAAACAGTCGTTTTGTAAATTACAATAAAAATGAATTTCTGAAAAATGAAGTGAAAAAAAAAACCTACAATATACAAGCCCTGATATTTTATTATTCAATTCAACATATGGTTACTTATGTATACCAAGGGGATGTGTACAAGCGTGTTACTGGCATATTGTTTTGTAATAGCAAAAAACAAGAGGTAACTCATGTGTCCAGTGATAGAATTAGAGACTGGGGAAATAAATCGTGGTGTCATCACGCTGGGTGATGGACTATCACAACTCTATGCAACAGCACCCATAAAGTCTCAGAATCATAACTGTGAGAGAAAAAACTAGCCTCAGAAGACTCTAATATGCCTTTTTGAAGAAAGCTTTATCAGAGTGTAATTTGTGTATTTTTTCCTTTTTTTAAAGATTTATTTATTTATGTTAGAGAGCGCATGCGGTGGGGTGGAGATGCAGAGGGAGAGGGAGAGAGAGAATCTCCAGCAGACTCCCTGCTGCGCTTGCGTCAGAACTTCATTCCTCTTTAATGTCCAATAATATTCCATGATGTGGATATACCATATGTTGCTCACTCATTCACAAGTTGATGGACATCTGGGTTGTTTGCACTTTTCGGCTGCTTTGAATAACACTGCTTTGCATGCAAGTCTGTGCACGGCTATGTATTTTCATTTCTCTTGGGTACATTCCTAGGTGACAGTGTTTTTATAAAATTCTTAAACAAGCAAAGCTAAACAGTGTTATGTTTAGAAATATAAAGTACTGAAACTATTCTTTTTTTGTAAGTTTTTTTTAAAAGATTTTATTTTTTTATCTGACAGATAGACAGCGAGAGAGGGAACACAAGCAGGGGGAGTGGGAGAGGGAGAAGCAGGCTTCCCGCTGAGCAGGGAGCCCGATGTGGGGCTCGATCCCAGGACCCTGGGATCATGACCTGAGCCAAAGGCAGACGCTTAACGACTGAGCCACCCAGGTGCCCCATTACTGAAACTGTTCTTTAAAAGCGAAGAGAGTCGGGGCACGTGGGGGGCCCAGTCACTTGAGCGACAGACTCTTGGTTTCGGCTCAGGTCATGATCTCAGGGTCCCGGGATCGAGTCCTTGTATCGGGCTCTGCGCTCAGTGCAGAGTCGGCTTGAGACTCTCTCTCCCTCTCCCTCTGTCCCTCCCACTTGTGTGCTCTCCCTCTCTTTCTCTCTCAAATAAATAAATAAATCTTTAAAAGTGAAGAGAGTAATAAACACAACATTCAGGGGGGTCAGTCGGGGGTGCATGTGGGAGCAGAAGATGGAAAAGGGAAAGATGGGTCTCAGCTAGATAAGAATAATGTGGCAGAGGGCATTTATGGTGTACATTTTATTGTGCTTCATAACATACATTACATTAGATATCATGTCTACATGCATATTTATATTACTTATAATGTATATATATTATATAAAAAGAAGACATTTTTAAAAACGGAAGGCTATCTCCAGTACCCTCATCCCATTGGGTTCTCATCTCACGATAACCAGGCCCCCACTCCGGCAGACAAGATTACACACGCTCTGGCCACCTGTCCGCACTTAGCCTGTTCACAGCTCCCTGTGTACCAGCTACACCGGCCCTCTCTCTGGCTGGTTCTCGAAGGTGGGGTGCAGCTCCTGCAGGTCCACAAGAGCCCCTCCCCAGAGGTCCGCAAGCTTCTTCCCTGAAGCTCTGGGTGGGACAGCATGTCTGCTTGTCTTCCTCTCTGTACCCCAACACCGGCCTCGTTTACTTTGCAACATAGCATTGTCATCCCCCTGCCACAGACACATGCACAGCGGGGCTCTGTTTTGCTCTCTGCCGAGACCCCAGCGCGCAGAGGTGCCTGGCTGTAACAGGGTCTCAGTAAATACATACAGAGGGAAGTAAAGCAAGCCAAGCTTGTGATCAGATGGAGACTACTGTGTTATCCAACTGAGCTGCTCTGTGTTCACTGAAGGCACAAAATGGTGTGCCCTAAGTAACCTGGGAACAGATGCACCTCGGGGAAATGTAGGATTTCAGTTGGAAGTGCTTCTCTGACCCTCATGAGCACCTTCAAGGACCCCTAGGGGTCCAGGATCCCATTTGAAGGCAACTGGGCTAGGTGAGCCTTAAAATACCCTGCAAAGCTAGGATTCCACATTTCCGTGGTGGGGTGGCCTCTGGGAGAAAGGGGTCATACGGTCATCACCATCATAATCCAGACCCCAGATAGATAATTCTGGAAGGCAGTGGAGCATGAGCTTAGAGCCCAGGGAGGTCCGGGCTGGAGGTGTGGATTTAGAAGTTCTCCAGCTTCAACCCCACAATCTACTCTCATAATCTTAACTCTAGGGCTGCAATGACCAACATGAAAACCACTAGCCGCATGTGGCTATTGAACGTCTGAAATGTGGCCAGTGTGACTGGATTTTAATTTTCTTTGATTATATTTAATTTAAAAACAGAAGCAGTACAAAATGTTTTCCCATTGAACACAACACTATTGCTTTGGTAGGATTACATTTCACTCTAACTGTTGAAAATTTAGCATCCAAATTGTGATGTGTAAAATGCACACCAGATTTTTAAGACTTAGCACACACACACAAATGTAAAATATCTCGTTACTAATTTTTATAATGATTGCATATTGAAATGATAGTATTTTGGATATATCGGTTTAAGTAAAATATTAAATTATTATTACATGAATGCTATTAAAATGAATGTTACTGCTTTTTATTTTTTTAAATGTGGTTACCAGAAAATATACAATTCTGTGTGCAGCTCTCATTATATTTCTGGTGGACAGACATTTCCACCATCACAAGAAAGTTCCACTGGACAGTGCTGGTTGAGTCTAAACAAACTGTGGTCACCTTGGCCTCCCAGCATCCTTGTTACTCCCCTCCCATACTGGGCTCCTGCTTTCTGCCTGGGGGCCTACCTCTCTTAGATTCTGCCTTCTTCCCAAGGAAGCTGTCTTGCCTATCCCCTCCAGCCTGCTGGAACCTTCTTCCTCC